TCGGGCTTTTCGGGCTGGTCTGAGCCCAATCGGGCTAAAGCCTAAAAACTCAATAGCCCGAATGGGTTGAGTCCGAAAGGCCCGATTTTTTTGGGCTTATATATTCAGACCCGAGTCCAGTATTTTTAAGGGCTGGACCGACCGGGTTTCGGGTTTTGACCCTAATTGACATGCCTAGTGGGGATGAGTGATTGTCTTTTGGGCCTATTTTGGGCTCAAGAAATATTATAATCTGAGATGGGCCAACACTATATCCACGATTCGTCTCCGTACGCCTTGTCACACACTTGATAACTCCGATTTTCATTTTTGCAAAAGTCTTCCTCACTGATATCGACGGACGAATTCATTCTGTGTTCGATCCAACGGTCAATATTCGAAGTCGTATTTCCCAGCAAACCTCGTCTCTAAAGAGATATAGACATATCAAAATATAAAAACGAAATTATGAAAATGTGTTTATATTGAATTGTTTCCCTTTGAAATTTTTTCCCCAATTTCTAGGGTTTCGAAAAATGACTTCTACATTCGAATTTACACGACCTGGAGGAATCCACGATAGGTTCGGATTCGCTACCTGTTGCAGTAACAGTCTATTGTATTCGCATACTTCGGCCTTCTTCTACGATCGCTGTAGGGTTTTTCGCCGGAATCCAAATCGCTTTGTCTCCAATTCAATCCTGCTTCCTCTGCAGAAGAAACCGGTTACAGTGTTGAGAAATCACGAAAGGTTTAATCTTTGGGATGGGTTTTCAAGGAAGAAGAGACGGGGCGAGGAGAGAAGAATGGTTGTGAGCTGTCAAGAAGATGATCAGAAAGCTAGTTCGAGTGAGAGTCGTAACGAGGAGGAAGGAACTCAGGATTCTCCGGCGAACTCGTCGAAGCGGAAAAGAGAGAATCAAGAGAAAGATAGGGTATGGTGGTCAAAGGGAAAGAAATGGCAGTGGCAGCCAATAATCCAGGCTCAGGGGATTAGTGTTTTGCTATTGCAATTAGGTGTTGTTATGTTTGTGATGCGATTGCTCCGACCTGGAATACCTTTACCTGGGTCTGAGCCTCGAATTCAGACGACTTTCGTGAGTGTACCTTACAGCGAGTTCTTGAGTAAAGTTAATAATAACCAGGTGCAGAAAGTGGAGGTTGATGGGGTTCAAGTTTTGTTTAAGCTGAAAGACGATGGAAAATGGCAAGAAAGTGAAACTAGTAAGATGTCTGAGTCGACTGAATCGCTGCTAAGAACTGTGGCTCCGACGAAAAGAGTTGTGTATTCAACCACAAGGCCTGGAGACATCAAAACACCATATGAGAAGATGCTTGGGAATAATGTTGAATTCGGATCGCCTGATAAGCGTTCTGGTGGCTTTTTCAACTCTGGATTGGTAATCCCAAAATGTTCTACACCACATTTTTACTATATATGCTACTCTCTGATGATGTTGCTTTATGGTTTTGCTTTAAGATTGCTCTTTCAGTTACCAAGTTTCATCATTTTCACTTTTGGAAAGCATTTATTTGAAAAGTTTCTGTTTTTTATTTGTTGCAGATAGCTCTTTTCTACATAGCGGTGCTTGCGGGGCTTATTCAATTTCCTATTGGCTTCTCCATGGTTGGTATCTATATTATACTTCGATTTGGTTGTTTAAAATTTTCATTTTCCTTAAAAACTATCGGTGTACACAGAGTACAACCAGCCAGCTTAGGACCCGAAAGTCTGGTGGTCCTGATGGGGGAAAAGTCTCTGGTGGAGGTGAAACAATCACGTTTGCAGATGTTGCAGGTGTTGATGAAGCAAAGGAAGAGCTAGAAGAAATCGTGGTACGTTTTTTAGTCCTTAAAGATGCTGCACATACCTGATTAATTGTCAGATCGTTTGCTATAGCATTATTCTCAGTCTAGTAATTGCCCTTTTCACATAATATAATTGATGCAGGAATTTCTTAGGAATCCTGACAGGTATGTCCGTCTAGGAGCACGTCCTCCGCGTGGTGTGTTATTGGTGAG